AGCCCACACCCAAATCCCAGGATGTGAAGAGCAGAGGAGACCTGGCTTTGTCAGATGTGGAGCAGGGCTGTCCTCAGCCTGGGAAGGCACAAGAGGTGCTGAGCTCGGCTCACACCCCCAGCCAAGGTGAGCCAACCTGAGCCAAGGCCTCAGCTCCACATTTATCCTGGTTTTGCCTGCACACACACAGAGAGGAGAAGGGGAAGGAAAGGCTTTCCATTAGTGAACAACACTGCAGGCCAATCTAACATGGCTCTGAATTGCATTGAATCACATTAATGTCAGTACTCTAAATTATTTGCAGACACCCCATTCTTCCACCACCATCATTTTTCTACCACTTCTCCCCAATTATAAAAAAATAAATAAAATCCCCCAGAGGAGCCCAGGGCACTACACACAGAGAACAGATTTCCCTTTCTGACGCTGTCTCATTGAATCAGCATTAGCTGCTTTCCACACACTCCATGGGAATCCAGGCTTGAACAATAAAAAAAAGCCATAAAAAATGGTTTATGTTCTCTTTTACCTGCTCATTTGTGAATCAAAATATCTTTGAACTGAATAAGAAGTTCAACTCCAGAACACTGGTACAAGTGCCAGAGCACGCGGGGTTTGCCCTTCTCAGATGTCAGCCCAGGGGAGGCTGTGGGGCAGCAGCAAGATCCCACCCTCCAGGGGAAGGGGAAAGCTTTTCAAGCATCTCAGATACATTTATGGGATCTGTGGGATCACAAAACACCGTGTGAGGGAACAGGTAATGGCATTTCCTTCCCACTTCTGTGGAGGAATTCCACCAGCAGTTACTGCAATTCCTTCTCCTTACAGTGGCCGTGTCCTTGCCCTCTCCAGACAGGCAAAGTCCAGCCTGCTGTTTCCCTGGGTTAATCTCTGCTTGCTGCAGGGACCAGGAATGCACTGGGCATCCCAAAAATCAATTTCCTACGCATTTTGGACTTCCCAAAAGGGGCATCTGTGGCAGATACACCAGAGAGCACAGCAGACATGAGGGGGCCAAGCTCCAGGAGCAGCAGAATCCCTCTTGGTCCATATTCCTGTGACATTTTTCCTGCTCTCCCAGCTCACTGCCCGCCAAGGACAATTAAGTCCATTTATTGTGCACTTTTCTGGATGACACTTCTCACTCACTGCTGCAGTTTTGTGATCTGACCTTTCATTCCCCTCCTCTGGTGAGGGATGAGGCAATGAGGCTCCTGGAACTCGGCGCACGCTACGGGGCCGCGTTCCTCCACGTGGGAGGCAGCAGTGCTGGGTGGTGGGGTGGGCATTCCTGGTTCACTGGAGCTGCTCACATTTGGCAGGCAATGCTGCTGAGGGTTTTATCCTACTTGCAGAGCTGTATTTTTGCTAAGTCAAGGACAGCACAGCCACTGCCAGCAGCTTCGCCGCGGTTGTGTTCACCCACCGCACAAATAAACTTTCCTCTCTGATGAAGGAATCCCAGCGGGCTGCAGAGCAGAGGAGGAGGATTGGAAGCACTGTCTCCACTTGAGCTGTTCCTAATCCCAGCTGCCTGCACAGGCTGCTGCCCAATTCCAGCTCCATATGAAAAGCAGCAGCTGAGTGTCCAGTCTGACTGCCCCGTGGCAGTGGTGCTGGCCGTGAAGGTCACTCAGTGGCAGGGCAGAGGGTGAGAGAAAGAAGCTGCAGTCTTGGACAGTGGGGTTTGTGCTTGAGAGTGGCAGAATAACAGGGAAAGCCTCTTCCCTGCCTTGTCCATAAACACAGTGTGGCTACAGTAGGAAACTTCAAGAAAATAGAAGAATTTCTGCAGACACAGAGATGTGGCCCAAAAGGCAGAGGTGGGAAGAGAACTGCAGTGTTTTGGAAAGCTAAGCTACCTAAATTCATCTTTTATCAGCCCTTTCTTCCCTCAACCAAGCCAAAAGATTACACAATCCAAGATCTGTGCAGACTTTGGTCCCTTCCCAGGAACAAGTAGATGGACGAGGGCGCTCCAACGTCAGGTCACATCCATGTCCCAAAAATCCTGCTGACTTGCACCAGCAATACCCACCCCCGAGTGAAGCCAGTGCTTGATCAAGACCAACTTTGTCCCAGATGCAGAGCTGGAGTTCCCAGGAGCAGAGAGGAGGCTCCAGAGCACCTTTTCCTTGCACAGCACAGCCTGTGAGACACTCGTGGCTCCCACTGTCACCTGCAGGAGCTGTGGGTCCCTGAGTCCCTCTCAGCTGTTGCTCAGCAGACCCTGAGAGGAGCAGGACCCTCCCTGCTGCCCACTCCAGCTGCAGCCTGTCCAGTGAGGCAGCCAGCACGTGGCTGGAGCACAGCTAATCCCCTAATCCCCAGTTCCTGGAGTTCTGAAAATAACGGAATTATTATTTTTGGAAACAACACATGTTTCTGCCTTCCTATATTAACATCTAATTAAGAAGCCAAATATATTTACAGAGCACTTTTCAAACTCCCTTTACACACAGTGTGCTCATGAATCATTTCCCTACCTGGGGGTAAAGGCTCTTTGTGACACGGGGGATAGATTAACACAGGAGCCAGCTGAAAATACCCAGGGAATCAGAAATTCCTGAGAGCAGACCCAGCTGCAGTACAGGCCACCAGAGCTCCAGCAAGCCCAGCACCCCCAGTCTGAGTCTCTTACAACCCTGTCCCACACTGGGGGCAAACAGGGCAATTTAAACCCTGGTTCTGCAGTGAAGAACAGCACCAGGCACCCCAGTGCCTTGTCAGGCTGTTTTTAACCCTCCTCTGAGTTATTATCTACTACAGTCTGAGTATCTTTCTCAGTAATTAAAGGGCCCTTTTAGGACACTGCCCTGCTCTGTAGCTGCACGATCTCTGCACACTCAACACTCTCCTCCTGCAAAGCTCCTGGTTTGCCCCCAAAAAGCACCTGGGGACCCCAGAGCAAAGTGACCATCCTGGCACGCCAGAACACCCTGCAGCTCTCTGAGCAGGGAGCAATGCAAAATCCTGCACAGAAAACACTTTTCATGTCAAAAGACTCCAATTTCCTAGTTTAGGCTACTAAAACTTAATTAACCTCATAACCCACCTGGTGATTTGCAAGCCATTACCCAGCGTTCTTTGGACCTTGAAATACTGAACACAGTGAGGTCCTAAGAGGGATTAATCCTTTCATAGAAACTGTTTAATTCCAGGAAATTAACACTCTTAGTTTGGAATATTCTCTGTTAGAGACTGGAAGGGGCAGCCAATAAAGCAATGGTTGTGCAGAGAAGAGGACTGGGCAGCTCAACACTCAGAGCTTGATGTCCTGAGCCCATGCTCTGCCCAGCTTCAGTGTTCACAGCAGTTTTAATAATTCATCCAAAACCATCAAAAACACCACTAGAACCAAATTAACTACCTGCTCCTCACTTGGCCTCTATCTGAAGGTTTTGCTCCCTCAACACCAGAAGCTGAAGGCAAGGAACAACACAGAGGGAAAGATTCTAAATAATTCAACTTTCCTGCTGTGCTAATGTATTAGCTTGGAGTTCTCAGGGCTGGGATGAATGGATTTAAAGCCAGGGTTGGCACGGGTGCCAGGGTCAACTCCCTCGGAAAGGAGATAAGCAGCAAAATGGAAATCAGCTGGGCTTTGCACAAGATCTATGTGAAATTATTTGACCTTTTAAATTTAAGAGGAATGAGCAAATGAGTGTCCCATCCCCTGAATCCAGCAGCAGCCAACTGCTGCACTGGGAGCACTGGACAGGGGAGGAAAATGTCCAGCCATGAAGAGAGCAAATCCTACCACGTACCAAACACCACCACACAGAGGAGCCTTTGCCACTCGAGTTTTGAGCTTAGTGGGGTCCATCACACCTGGGCAGGCAAGGGAAAGGTGTTGTGACATCTCCAAACAGCCCCAGCACACACAGGGATGCTGAACCCTCTCACACATCCTTGGCCAAGAGTCCACTGGGTGGGACATGGGGTGAAAACCACAGCAAACCCCAGCTCTGGAGGGGAGTGTTGGCCCTGCCATGGGAAGGGAAAGCAAATGGCCTGGTTGCTTGCTGTGGAGACCAGGAGGCACAGCTGAATAGACCCCATGACATTTATCTTCCTATTTTTTGAAGTATAATTACGTCCTGCCTTTAAATAGCCCAACAGATGCTGCTCAGGTGTGTGCTTCCTTGAGCCTCCATCCATGCCCTTTCCTGGCTTCCTGTCTCTCTCCAGCTGCCCCTCATACCCTCCCCACCACTGATGGCCACTGTGTGCTCCCAAATCCCCTCACCCAGCTCACATCCTGCTGGTGTCACCTCTCTGCACTGTGCCCAGCACCAGAGATGTCACCGCTCCTGTTCCAAGGCAGGATGCTGCATTAGCCAAAATGACTTTTCAAAGGTTTACATCAGTTTTTTGTTACTTGCCAAACTTAAGAGTCCACATTCAAAAGTATTTCTTTAAGCCATGCAGGGAGCACTTCTCCTGCAGCACCAAGATTTTCCCTCCTGGCAGTTCATCCATCATTCCACAAGAATTCTTGGATTTTTACACCGTGCTGCTTTAAGTTTCTAGACACTGGTGATTAAAACCCCTCAACCCTGAGCATTACCATGTCGTCATCATTAGGTTTCAGAGCCAACAGTGTCAGTGCAATTAGGTACAGCTCATTAACATACTGCCTGCATGCTCTGAGCAAGTACAGTTCCAACAAGAGGTCTGCTGCCTCCTTCACAGCCCAGAGCACAAACTGCTCAGGGCTTCCATCAAATTTCAGTTCCCATTTTTGGAGTAAATTGGACAGTAACGATTTAGCAGGCGGACAAAATAAAATTTTCTATCAAAATTTCAACGATCAAACCAACAACACCCGAATTAAATGCAGAAACCCAACATAACCCTCACCTATTCCTTCTGCCCAACCTCCTACACCCCCCAACACCATCCTGGCAGGCGGCAGAAGCCGGCTCTGCCCGGCGCCCACACCGGCAACGCGGGAAGCTTTGGCCAAGCCATTCCCCAGAGGTCCCTGGGGCACTCACCAGGAAGCGCACATCGTCGAAGCCGTTCAGGAGCAGCTTGCTCTCGTACTGCTGCAGGCCGATGGACTCCAGCCACTCCCCGACGCTCTGCTCCAGCATCCGCGAACCTGACGAGAGAGGAATCGGCAGCCGCTTGAACAGGGAGAAACCGTTCAGGCGGTAGCAGCGGCACTCTGAGGAGGACAGATGGCATTGCCACATCATAGTCATTACCATAAAGAAACTCAAAAAATTATGCTCAGAGTACAACAAATCGGCGGGCAGACAATTCCTCTTGTGTGCACAGAGCATGGACAACGAGCTCGCGCTGCCTCGGCGGGCTCCGGGTGCAAATCTGTGCTGCAGTTCACACTCAGAAAAGAAACTCCTCGCCCGGGCAAAGATTCAGAGGCGCTGCTGGGGCGCTGAGATCACAGGCACTGCTGTCAGGGCTCGCGAGTTCCTCGCCAGGCAAGCACATGAAGCCCAACCCCACGGGGATGCAGATCCACTCCTCGGCTCAGCGGAAGGGGGCGGGAGGAGAACAGCAAACTTCCACCCGAGGCATTCCCAGGCAGTCGCAGGTGCGAGGGAAAGGAGAGGAGCTGTGCCAGTCCTCTCATCTGAACACCTCTGGACACAGCCCCGGCTCAGCGGGGAGCACGGAGCAGCCTGAGAGAAAACAGCTTCATGCAGCCGAGCCAGCTCCGACACGGTGGATGCTCGGGAAAGCAGCAGGAGCCCAGGCAGAGCGGCTGTCCGCGGGAAGACACGCAAGACAAAGGAAGCACAGACTGCAGCAGCGGAGAGGAAGGGCTTGTGCTCTTCCTCCCCAGCAGTCCTGAGAGAGGCAAACCATGGCAGGGGTTTCGTCTCGCCGTTGCTGTGTTATGGGGACCCCAGGCTCATGTCTGGCAGCCCTGGCTCTGTCATTCTACCAGCGATCCGATCACTTGGCATTCCAGCACGCTGCCCGGACCTCTTGGCATTCCAGCACTGCGGCCCCAGAGAGCCCAGCCCCAGCTCTGCACCGTGTGACAGCACAGCCAGGACGGCTCTCACCCAACACTGCTGGTCCTGCCAGGTGTTGGGCACGCACCTGGATTTGCCCTTCCTTCACTTTCTTCAGCCGAGCGCAGCCGTCGCATGGAGCCCCTCGCTCAGACAGGGAGCAGCTCTGCAGGAAGGAGGCATTTCGGTTCCCTGCTTCCAAGCCCACAGCAAAAGGAAAAAAGCAAATGCAAGCACACTCTCTCCTCTTCCTGCAGCAGCTCAAGTCCGAGCCATGCCCTGGCACCTCCCCCTCAGCCTCGGATAAAGGAGATTTCTCCCAACACCTATGGAAGCCCTGGCAGATGAGCTCTCCCTTCCCTCATCCCTGGGATGAGTCCAGTGACTTGTTACTCTCCTCTAGTAAAGCTCAAGACCTTAAGTATGACCAAAAAAAAGTTCAGAGATCTCCTTTTCATCAGGGAATTTGCTATGCAAGACAGGCAGATTTCCAGGCTCCCTGGCACGTCTGTTTCCAGCACGGACGCAAAGAAAAGGATGATCAGGAGACCCCCGTTTGCTTCCTTTGAACCTTCAGGTCAGCTGAAGCAGTTTGGCACCTTGCAGCCATCCCTCCCCACTGTGCTGCAGTGGCTGCACACACAGAGAGCTCACGGTGTCACCTGCAGATTCCTGGGGTAATTCCTGCTGTCTGCTCCTGGGGGTTGCTCCTGTGCCGGTATTCGGGAGCGCCGGCCGGTCCTTCCAGCGCACGCAGTGAGATCACAAAAGGCTTCTGCCTCCCTCCCCTGAGCCAGCCCATGCTCTGGGGGAGCAGCTAAGCCTGGACTGTGTGCCAGCAGCTCCTGCTCTCCAGGTCTCCATGCTCCCCTCCATCCTTTCCCCCGCGGTCCCTGCGCTCCGCCGGCTGCGGCGGCGGCTTTGTCTGAGCCGCGAGCCCCACGCTGTCCCTCCCTTCTCCTCATCCTCTCCCCCCTCCCAGTGCTCCCACCCGCCGGGAGGGAGGCAGCGGCTCCGTAACTCTCCAGTGGAAATCACTGACTCCTCGATATTCACTCGATGATGGACAACGTGGCTTGGGGGTTTTAAAAAATGATGTCACAGGTTTGCTCCGACAGATCCAAGTGATTTGTGGCTGGCTCAGAATTAATTTATCAAGAGAGAGGTGAGGAAGTGCTTGCTGCCTACCACAGCATTCCTGGGAGCTGTCGGGGTATTGGAAGACGGAATGAAACCACAGCAGCTCCTTCTCCTGAACTCCTGAATTTAATTTTTAAAATTATTTACTCTATTCAGCCTTGCATGCACCTCTAAATACATTTCTGCTTTCAACAGGGAAACCTACAGTGATACCAAGTGCAGGTTTTCTGCTCACAAAACCCTTTCAAGTCATGACAAAATGAAGAGAGGGAAGTATTTGGAGGGGTTCCTTTAAAAAGAGAAGAACAGACACCTAAAACATCCCAGACTGAAAACTAAGATGCCCCAAATACATCTGATATTTGTGTGTTACAAGGATGATACAAGAACAGAAGAATCACAGTACTTGTGCCCCCTGGCAAGATCCTGATCACCAATTCTGGCTGAAACAAACTCCTATTTCTCAGCTCCATCCTTCCCCTTATGCTCCACATTCTGGGAATCCTGCCTTTGAGAGGCCTGCAGCTGGCAGAGGGGAAATCAGTGGGCAGAGGCTGGAATGCTGAGGGCATTCCCAAAGCTCTGCTGCCTCCTGCAAGGCTCTTCTCAAGTCCCACAGCACAGAGAGGCAGCACAGGAGGGATCCCAAACTGAGTGTGACAGAGCACAGCCCATGGGAAAACCCCTGGCTCTGGGACAGGGCAGCTCCTGTGCAGCAGGGCTGCTGCAGGGTGTCCACCTTGCTGAGCACTCCCTGCACAGCTGCAGCTCTGCAGGAGCCCTGCCTCTGCCTCTCTCCTCCATGTCAGACCTTTCCCTGGTGCTATTGATCCATCACAGCCTGAACCGGTGTGGGAAGGGCTGTCAGAGCAGGGAGCAAACCCACACAGAGCTTCAACTCCTCTGCAAAGCCATCTGATCCTGGAATGCAGAGCCTGAATCAGGCTGAACTCCCACTGGGAACAGTGGGTTCCTCCTCACCTAAGCAAAAACCTGAGTGACAAATGGGTATGAGGTGAGCTCTGTCACAGCCCGTGTGAGCTGCGTGTGCGGATCTCTATTAGCATCTCATCAGGAGGAGCTGCTGCCCATCCAGAGTCAGAGCTGCTCTGCTGCAGCAGCCTGGAGGTGAAGGATTTAAAAGGACAGAATCCCCCGTGCTGGCAGCTCTCCAGCAAGCTTGAGCTCAGCTTCTGCTCACGACTCAAAGGCACAGAAGGGAATTCACATTTTAAGGGTTGTCCAAGAGCCTTGTTCAGTGGGTACCTGCAGGTGCACTTAGAAATGCCCAGATCACCCTCCCCGAGGCACCTGGCAGATCAGCCACATGCAAAGGGCATGGCCACCATGGCACCCACACTGACCCACCACTGGCACCATCCAGCCCTGCTCAGCACAGCTGCTGCCCTCACAGAAAGAGCTGGGAGGAAAATCCTGCAGCTGCATTCTGCAAAATTAAAGGAATCTTCCCAAGGAGTGTAGAATTAAAATTGCTGGCAGCAGCATTGAGCATCATAAGGGAACCCAGGTCTGCTCCTCCTGTGCCAGAGCATTCCTCTCCCTCCCAGAGCCAAAACAAGATAGAAACATCCACACACAGGAGCCAGCACCTTGTTTGTGTGCAGATCACAGCAAGGACAGACAGACACATGCTGGCTACACTACCTGAGATCCTGTGCTGCTCCTGGGAAAAGTCAATGCCTTCGCCGATGGAACTCATGATCTTTTCAATCTGGAAATTAAAAAAAAAAAATCATGTTTTGCATTATTAATAAAGCTTCAGGAAAAGGTAAAAGCAGCTCAGGATTTCACCTCCCACATGACAGCTGAAGAAATCCAGGAAAGGATGTTAAGGTATCTCTGGACTAGAAGAGGCACCCTGAACACCTTGCCTGGGTCAGTTGTTGGGATGGATGGCTCACAAGGGATATGGAGAGCTTGAGGCTCTGCAGAGCTTTCCCTTCCACAACTTTCCAGAGCCTGGAAATAAAAAGCTTCAACAAAATCCCTCAGGAGCAGAGCCTGGGGGTGAGAAAAGAGCCCCAAACTCCTCCCTCACCCTGTAGGAGCACACAGCCCCCTACACCAGCAGTGAAGCTGCAGCAATGCTGTCACCCCCTCCTTCCCAGCAAGCAGACTGGGAGCTCAGCTTCCCTACACTCTGGTTTGTTGGGCATTTTTGTTTTGGCTTGATTTATTTTTTAAACCACTACATTTCCCAATGCTATGCACGGAGCAGGTGCTTCCAAAGGGTTTGAAAACAGATTGTGTGGGATAACAGCATCACAGGGCAAAAAAGGACCCAGGAGAGGGAGCAGGAGTCAGCTCCATCAGCTCCATCTCACCTCTCTACAGCTCCAGACAAACCTCAGGCAGTGAGGAAAAAAGGTACAAACTCTGCTGGAATGGGTCTGAGTCCTCTTAAGAGCTGGATAAAAATGGCTGCATTTGCCACACACACAAAAGAATAAATTAATGCAGGTTGCAATTCCCAGTGAACTTTCAGGAGTCTTCCTTAAATGAGAAGAGAAACTTTTCAAGCAATTCTTGAGCAGAATTAGCAAACTGAGGCTTCAAATGCAGTGGTGCAGAGAGAGAACTGACAATTCCCAGGTTAATTTGTAAGAGGAAAGACTTGACAAACTGCAGCTCAGCTGGTCAGTTCAGACCCTTCAATACTCAGCACTGAACTCCACTGTTTCCCAAAGAGAACACACTTGAGAGGCTCAGGGTTGATTGCCTACCCCAGTCTTCAGTCTACAACTGAGCAGAAAATAAAATAAAATAAAAAGAAAAAAAGAAAAAAATGCCTCCAGTAAGACTCCCAAAAGGAAATCTCCCAAGTAAACACCCCTGTGAGGCACTTCTGAGTGGCTGCTACTGAATGCAAAGTGACTGGCCACAGAGTGGGGGAATAAACCTCAACTCTTACTCAACTTTTTTTCTCCTGGTCATTTAAGGACATACTTGGGGAAGGAGTCCAAGTTGCCCTGGACTTCACCCCTGGCTGCCTCTGCCCTGCCTGGCTCTCAGTGTGCTGCTGTGTTTGGTGCAGCTGCACGAGTCCCCACTGCTGTGAGGAGCTCCTGGGGATGCTGCAAGAGGCTGGATCTGACAGCCATGCACCCTCAGGGGCAGTGTGGAGCTGAGCTCCACCAGAGAGGGGTTTTGGTGAAACAAAAAAAGCTCTTACAAGGCTCCTGCCAAGGCAGATCTCCAGGAAGCCTCTCCTCCTGCAGGGAGCAGCAGGCACTGCACTTGCAGGGTTAAATCTCACCAGGGACCAGGCAGTGCTGTGAGCTCTAACACAGCTTTTAAGGATGTAGGTCCTTTGAAAACCATGAGGATGAGCACCTCTGCTGGGCTTGAAATACAATTAACACCCATTTATCGGGAGATTTGAAAATCAGCCTGGGAAAACAATTAGAAGCTCCAGGAGTTTAAGGACATTAAACTTTGCAGATTGGTGTCCATCAGTTCCAGGACAAGGTACATCTCTGAGCTGGAGCTGCTCTTGTACCTTGTCTGGGAATGTCTAGCTGGATTCAAATTGCAAATTAACTCTGAGGCCAAGTTCCTTTGTTTCCATCGTGCTGCCCTCTCCTAATCTGAGAGAGATTTGATGCTGTCCAGGCTCAGCCCCCAGCACTGCCAGCTCTGCAGTCCCAGCACTGCCTTGAGGACTTGCAGGTGCCTCTGAAGCACTGAAACACCCACGACCTTTTCCTCAAAAGCAGGGAATTGCCTTGTGCTATATAAAACTGAATGGAAATTAAACAATCACGTGGCAGAGGATTACCTTTCTCAGCCCTCCTTTGCCAAGTGCTGCTCACAGTTAGGCACAGTCCCAGCTATTACCATTACTGCAGAGGGAAATCCTGCCCTGCCCTTGGCTCTCCACGAGAAGCAAACACCTCAAACAGACTCACACACCACTTCAAACATGGGTTTATGGCTGACCAGCTTGATTTAACTGTTAGGAGGCTGCAAAGAGAAGTATGAGGGGAAGGACAAACGTGGAGAGGGAACCACTGCTTTAGAGCATCCCTATCCTCTACCCTTTCCTCAGCTGCACTCCAGCATGGACATGGGGCTGAAGAGAAGATACCTTGAAAATAGCCCATGCTACAGTTTTTTAGGCTGTTCTTTCCCACTGGTTAATTATTAAAATACAAAAATACCATGTTTAAATATAGTGCTGCAGCTCAGACTTAGTTGTAGCCTGAACACACAGTTCTGATTTGTTTTGGCTTAACCTGTATTTTTCCACTGAAGCACCAAGTGCCCATCTCTGGTTGTGCTGTGGGGTCGGTTTGGGGTGGGGATTTTATGGTTTATTTGTTTTACAGCCACAGAAATAAAGCCATAAAATGCTTCCGCCTTCTAAATGAATACAACCATATCTGTTATCCCTAATGCAGAGGGGCAGCTGGCTCCATGTGACAGTGAGGGTGAGCCAGGGACCCCTCAAACCCCAGCAGGGAAGGAGAAACTCCTGCACAGCTGAAGTACTCTGGGAGAAGGAAAGGCTGCAAGGACAGGAGAGTGTCCCTCATTAACCCCATAGCAGGAATGGAAGGAGCTGTGGAGCACTTACTAGGATTGGGGCTCTTGGATTTATTTTCATGTTTGCCTACATTTGGTGAAAGACACAAACGTCCCAAAAAAAGGAGCTGGGTGTGGCTGAGAGTCCAGATCGGGCTGGGGCGAGCTCTTCCAGGCAGGCAGGGAACATAGCAACTGGCCAGTGACTCCAAAACAGAGCCTGACTCAAAAACAAACCATCCTGAGCAGTTCTGCTAACAGAGGAAGAGGCATTTATTTGGACAAGGCCAGCGAGGCCAAGCCAGCCTCAGGGCATGCTGAGGTCTGTCCTGCTGCAGGACAGGAGGCATTTCCACACCAGTCCTGCACAGGGATTCCCCACTCACAGTGCTCATGGCAGGAGCAGCCAGTGGCTCCTTACATGGGCAGGATACAGGATATTTTCTCTTTTCTGATCCCAGCCTGCAGGAGCAGCAGGGACACAGGGGTGGACAGTGGAGAGGGCAGTGACCCCCCTGTCCCCAAGGGCACACAGTGCCCTGCAGAGGCTCTGCTCCACTGCCAGCCCCACTCCACACCCTGCCCTGATGGATGCCAAGCCGTGGTGTCCATACTGATCTCTCCAGCTTTTCTTCCCCAGCCACTGCTGGAGTTTGAAGCCAATGATTCCATTGAGAGAGACTGAGGGCATTAAACCACCCCCAGTGCTTTTGTCCCCAGAATAAAGAGCTCCACACAACATGGGCTGTCTGCCCACACACAGGGCAGGAGCCTCATCTGGACAGCACCAGACTGACCATCACTCTGTCAGGGTGACACTCACCCAGTCTTGGAGGCACCTTGCTGCTCCTGGAGCTTTCTGAAAGGGGCTTCATAAAACCTCACCTTACAGTCACCACCAATGCAAATGCAGAAGTTTGTTCTCAGTCTCTGCACGCAGCACCAGAGACTGCCAAGGATACAGCAAGGTCACCCTGAGAGAACTGAAATCACAGAATCCTCAAACACTTTGGGTTGGAAGGGACCTTAAAGCTCATCCAGTCCCACTCACTGCCATGGGCAGGGACACCTTTCACTATCCCAGGGTGCTCCAAGCCCTGTCCAGCCTGGCCTGGGACACTTCCAGGGGTGGGGCAGCCACAGCCACAGTTGCCCTGTGCAACTCTGCCCTGTGTGGGTCAATGTCTTCTGCTTCCTCTGTGACCCCCTCCCAAACTGGCAGCTTAAAAATCACCAGTGATTCCTGAGCACCAGAAGAGGATCTGCAGTGCACCTGCACAGGCTCAGACTCTGGGCAGCGAAGTTACTCAAATAAAGGTCTGTAATTAAATAAAACCACACAGAACCAAGCACACACTATTTGCCATATGGAGGGCATTAGTGCACTATAATGACACCCTGCAGCAGGAGTATAATTAAGAATATAGCAGGATTCCCATTATAAATCCTTATTACTGAGGGTTCATAACCTACTGTACAAACCTGCCTGGGGCTCAGGCTCAGCAGACAAGAGCAGCTCCAGCAGCAGATTTCAGTCTCAAAAGCTACTTACAAAGTTGGGTGGAAAGGTTATCAGTCTTTTAAATTTCTGCAATTCCAGGAGAGTGTCAAGAGTTAAGACTTCATTATTTCCAAGCTTTAACAGCTGGGGGATGGGGCAGATTTGGTTTCAAATAATAAAAAATAAATAAATAAAAAATCAACCCCCAAACAAGCTGCTTCTACAGTTTCAAACCCCTCTGAGCACAGCAAACCCCCCAGTGATGATGTGAGCACCCCCCTCACAGCCCAGCAGGTCAGCTCTAAACTCCAGGGGAGAACTATGGGCACGTGAGGTTGACAGATGATGCTGTGGCAGCACAGAATCACTGACATTTCCATTCTGTACCAATACCACAGCAAACTTCACATCACTGACTGATACTGCACCACTGAAGGAGGAAGAGGGGCTGCTCAGACTCAGCTGGGATATATCCTGGAGCAGAAGAATGGCAGGATTGCAGCATCCACCAGCATGTCTGAAAGGGATGGAGCAAGAGTGGGATCTGGGATGATACCTGCTGACTCCTTAATACAGGTACAGATCTGCAAAATTTGGATTTGGGCCATGAATCTCATTTCTAGGTTGCTGACAGCCCATAAACCACCTCTGGTTCAGTTTATGATGCTTCAGCTTCTGTTTTCCCA